CGCAGATAGCCCTCGTGTAGCTTTGCGCGAAATTCAAAACAAACAAACAAACCTAACAGATTCACAGATGTAGGCAAAAATTACATTGGCTCATGCCAGAGATGTTCAATCGAATAGAGATCCAGTGATGTTGCTATCCAGGGAGAGATGACTAAAGTCACTCGTACACTCTTTATTTACCAATTTTAGATAACAGTATGCTGTGATTGTTACATTATCGCTTGTGAAGATCGAGCCCTTGTCTCTATCAAAGTATAAAAGCAGCATTTTGTGATGGACAAGGCTAGAAACAACGTATACGTGCAGTCTGGATGCTATTAAACTTTCCAAAGGAACTAAGGAGCTCAATCCATTCCATTGGAACATTTCCCAGATAATTACACTGACTCCAGAAATACGCACTTTCGGAACAATACAAACTGGACCAAGTGCTTCTAAATACACTATACGAATCAAATTGACAAAACTGATATTATCACTATTTTTTCAATGTAGTTGCCTTTCATTTCGGGAGGGTCAAACGCATCCTAGTGATTAGCTATGGATCAGAGAATCCAAGGTGCGAGTCCGCGATATTCCGCTGAATACGTTTCACACGCTACTTAGTTAGGAACATATCATTTTAAGCGGCGAGTGCTTCTGATTGGTTAAGCTACTCATCCTCTGGTTAGATGTCTAAATACAGACAGATGCCTTGTAGTCTCTATCCTGACATTTTAGGCCACGTGTCTGGTAAACTACAGCTCTGGTTGAAAATACCGTTTCAAACACTAAAAAACTCATAAATTCAAGCATAACTTGGGCAGGAGTAGAATTGGTTTCAAATTTACTGGAATTTACAGTGTTGCTTGTCCGACCAAAGTAACAAAATATAGTTTTCGCTTTATTGAAAATAAATAACAACAGGAAATCTAATTTCTTTATACACTTTTAAGGTTTTTCTTTAGAACAATGCTACTGAAATTTTCAAAGCGGATCATTATATAAATATTTTATTGAATACAGATCGTGTTATTCATGTCACTTTATGACAATTACATGGTGAACGTTTGTACACTTATTTGTTTTTTTCTGTATGGCACTACTCTGGTGTACATTTCTTTTAAGTTGGATACTAATGTAACAATAAAAAGAATGACAGATGGAATTAATTATCTCCCAATCAAACATATTGTTAGCTATGTAAAAGTTTATGAAGACAGTGTCATACTTTAAGACGATCCGAAATATGTGCAAAAAACTCATCATTACGCAATCTCATAATGAATGTGTGCACATATATATTTGTTAGCAAAACCCTGAATAAAATTTGCAAAAACCAACATATAAAAAAAAGTCTTGGGAATGGTATTCTTTGATTTTAAACAAGTTATTTTAACATCCAACAAGCTATCTTCGCCGCCAGTTAAAACAGGGGTCATCATTCATGTGTAAATATTGGTTACTTTTCATGTTAATCAAATACTAAAGCTTTACTCTCAAGTGAAGATTAGTTGTATACTTTTAGCGTTATAAAGTATTGTTCCCAGTCAGGGTCAAGACCATGACGAGCTATGTTCTTTTACATAAAGAGTTAAGTGTAATGATGAAAAATACTGTGTGATAGATACGAGACGATTAGCCTCACAGTTAAGTTTAAATGCATAGAAAACTACTCAGACAAACATGCCTGATGTATAATGAGTAAGGTAAACCACGTCTCTCTTCGATAAATGTTTCTCTATCAGTAGCGTAGCGGTATGGGGGGGGGGGGAGGGGAACCACTCCCCTCCCCAGATGAAATCGGCCATTCAAGAATCAAGAAGCTAATCTTAAATTTCACTGAATGGTGCAGCATGTGGCTCTCGTGATTTACCGAATACAAATCTGTCCCTGTACAACAATAAATTTCTCATTGATTTAAAATTCTACTGAATGGTGTAACGTTTGCTTTACATAATGAGAAATCAATCGGTAACAAGAAATTTTGCATGCAATTGTTATTTATCAGAGCATTGTTTCCTCATTTAAAATTGTATGGAAGAAATTTTTCATAATTTGCAGTTCGGAATTTGAAAATCCAATTGGAATCGAGAAACAAGCTTTAACTTTTACCGAATAGAAATGAGTTTGTCAGTGAAAACAAACTACACGCTCCCATGTTATTCACTTTACGAATTGTTTGTTATTCAGCCCGCAACACTGATTATACCGAATGACTTTTCAGTACTGGTTCAGGTTTTCGAAAATTCAACAGTAATCAAGAAACAAGCTTTTAAGTTTTACGTAATCGTGTAGTGATTGGTCTAAAATACATAATACGAACCCAAACCGCAAAAAGAAACTTCGAAGTTATTTATCGTGTTTCATTCTACGTTTCTCAGTCTCTCCAGATCATCCCCGTCACACCAAACATGCTCGCCCTTTCAGCCGTGGGGCGTTATAATGTGACGGTCAATCCCACTATTCGTTGGTAAAAGAGTAGCCCAAGAGTTGGCGGTGGGTGGTGATGACTAGCTGCCTTCCCTCTAGTCTTACACTGCTAAATTAGGGACGGCTAGTGCAGATAGCCCTCGTGTAGCTTTGCGCGAAATTCAAAAACAAACAAACAATCTCTCCAGATCAATTAAGTGTTTACTCTATTCATTTACCGAAGAGAATTAACTGAATTAACATAGAGACCTGTTAAGTCTAGTGAATTTCCCAGTGAAATAGTTATCAGTAAGAAACCAGTGAAAACAAGACTTTGATCGATTATGACGAACAACAGACTGGACCATTTGTTAATTAAGGCTTGCGAATAGGACATCGCTTCCTATGTCGATCCAAATGATATTTTAAATAGATGAGTTATCTAGGTCGTATAGAAGGCTATATTTACGAGATTTATTCTCGGAATATTTAATGGAGTAAAGTCCAAATATAAAAGTTGCAAACGTAATTTACGAAATATTAATAATTGTGAGACCTGTATTTCTATTTCGTTACGCATGCATCACAATTTGTAGATGTAAGAGTTTGTGAATACGATTTTCACTATTTTATTGCATCCCGAATTCCATATATATACATATATAAGCTTGCGAGTTGTGACTAAACATCTTTTAATCATTTTTTTTCGTTGTCGGCCATTCGGCAAAATTTGTGGTTCGCATCCCACCCTCCAACTATAAAATAGTCGCGACCCCACTGACTAATATTTTACTTTATGAGAAGCTGCAAGGATAATAGACTTGTCCTACCAAAGGCGACCCCACTGACTAATATTTTACTTTATGAGAAGCTGCAAGAATAATAGACTTACCCAAGACCGTACTAAAACTAAGGACCATCAAATAAATCGGTTTATTTTTTTATTAAATATCGTCTATACGGCCTTGGCACTTCGAAGATATTATACAAAGAGTGGAAACACGAGCGCCTTGTTTTTCTCAAGCTTTAGGCGGCGAGCAACAATCCTGTTGACGGTTGGAGTGTATGTCTAAGAAGGCAAGGTCTTTTTTACAAATGGAGTCCTTCAATTTCTTTACCAGATTTGATGTGCACTTGAGCCAATTTCCTTGTTTTGGCCAGTAACTTTTACATGTTTTGGCAACATATTCAGCTTTTACTTCTCAGAATAAAAGTTCCTACACTTTTCTTTGGTAGGAGTGTCAATTTGTATTGAAATAGGAAAACTGTTGTAGTTCGGCACTGCAAGTCTTCCGAAACGTTATCCAGTGAATTAGGAAAATCTCGTTTTTACTGTATGGGTTGTTGCAATTGTACTACTGTAGAGCTATGAAAGAGGACAAAATGTGAACTGTTCATTATCACACTAACATATTGGAGCTTCTTCACAAGAACAGTATCTATTTACTATAAGATAGAAACATCATTAATATTTAGATTCGCCAGGACATATTACCCAGACTTTGTTACAAGTCGTACACGTCTATAACGTGGGGGGTGTTGTTTTTCTTTGTCACAGCATACTCTTCAAATTGCTCAATGCTGCTCCTATGTATTTTTATGTGCTAGAAATCCTGAACATAACTTTAGCAAAGTATTCCATAAAAAGCTAATGAGTCTACACTATAACTGATCCTCGCAATGAAATTAGTTTTGTTAGATTTGAAGAGAAACATATAAGTGATATGAAAAACACGGGTGTTTATTCTCATACGACTAATTGTATATATATATATGTGTGTGTATATTTATTTGTGCAGGAAATGCTCGTTATCACTCACTCTTCAGGTGGGCCCGCGGAGAATGACAAAAACCGTTTTAAGCATGACGAGAACCTTTATCGGCACGATGTATCGCAAGTGGAGAAAGATTTGTCGTAAGCTACCTGAGACTTTACGTTGGTATTAATAGTGAAACAATGGTTGTGGCACTTATATTAGAATGTTTATTGAAAGTGTTTATTATCTGTACTTGAAATAATGGTATATTCATTACTAATTCGTGACACTGTGAACCAAAATATTTTGTCAACTTTGAAAAATATACAATTTTGTTAAGCGCAAGGTGAACAACCCTCTTCATATTGTAGAAGTGAGAGGGTCACATCCTCTGGCCCTCCGTATATATAAATTGTTTATTTGCTTGTTATTATGCGCAAAGCCGCACAATGGGCTACTTGTGCTGTGCCCACCATGAGTATTGAAACCCGCTTTTTAACGTCAGTAGTCTAGAAACTTACCATTGAGTCATTAGGGATATATATATATAAATCACCCCTATGCATGCCAGCAATAAAGTGTTCCACCATTTTTTTGTACAAAGACGTTACTGTGTGTGTGTCTTTGGGTTAATTTTAGTTTAAAACTATATCGTCATTGACTTAAACGTATTACCCATATTTTTTGTTGATGTTTTTCTTTAAAACTTTTTAAATATAGAAAAATAAGTAAAATCTCTTGAGTTCACACAAATGTCTCCCTTGTAGTTAAACGGCTACAGATCAAGATAATATACTAAAGCAACTACAAATTTCAGTCCAACAAGTAAGTCCCCCCCCCAGTGGCACAGCGGTATGTCTGCGGACTTACGACGCTAGAATCTGGGTTTGATACTCGTGGTGGGCAGAGCACAGATAGCCCATTGTGTGGCTTTGTGCAAGTAAGATTAAGGAAACCTTTTTTTTTT